CTTGTTTCTAGTTCTCTCTCTGGAGCACCAACCAAGTAGGCCAGATGCTTATCTTCCTTATGTAGTCTGTCTTCTTGGCTTCCTACCCACTTAGTAAATTCAAGGAAAGTTCCATTAACAGCAGCAATCCAGGATTCCTGTAATTGCCCTTACTTGTTTTTGCTAGAACTGGAATTTTCCTGCATAGCTTCTTTCCTGCTCTTCCCCACCTCTCCAAATTTTAGAATCTGTTAGTTATAAACCACATGTGCTGCCGATCTAGTCTGTCATGTTTTCTGTTTAGTTTGGCTTCATATTGTTGGTGGTGGTTGGTGACTGACAGTGGTGTCCCTTGTGAGATTAGAAATAGACATGTCAAAGTATCCATGCCCTATATACCTGTGACAATTTCTCAAGGTGATATAATAATGCTAGGCTCCTACCGAAGAGGAGAGAATGTTGGGTTTTCCAACTGCATGCTTCACTCTGCCCCTGGGGCCCAATGAAACAATGTTTGTATCTAGAGTTATGCAAAATTCTTAGAAAAACTCCTCCAAGCTCCATGTTCCTTTCCTTCTTGGCTGCTATGAAGAACCTCTCTGCCACATCCTCCCCTCAACAAAATTCCTTTTCCTCTCCTTGAGCAAATAAAAAAGGAAGAATGTGAACACTTATATGTAACTCATTTATGCAAATACATTCCTAGATGCCCACTGTTCTGCAGCTAGATCTAATTGGCTTATGGGTAGCAGGGAGAGGACATGTCCACCCCCTTTGGCTTCTTAGCTTACTGTAGTATAATTTTCTTTGTTTCAGAAAATAATTCAAGTTTTGTCTGTTCGTAATTGTTTTTTCTTCATCATTTTTAGAGATCATTTCAAATGATTATAATGCCACTTAAGCTCCTTTGGTTTTATTTCCAAGCTTTTTTTGTACCCTTGCTGATTGTTCTATCAATAGACATGTCAGAATTAATCTTAAAGGTTTCAAGGAAATCTTGGAGATAAATTTACACACATATAGTGTGCCCCTACAGAGTATTTTATGAGCAAGTATTGGAGTTTGACTGTAATCTCAACAAGTAACCCCAAAGGTTAGCAAATTAAATGTCTTAAATACATATAAGCCCAAAGTGTAATAAGTGCAATGATGTTATATTTATGGTAAGATGAAAAAATAAACTTAATTCTAACTCAATAATGTTTTAAAGATTAAGGTGATTTTGTATAGCTGAGTTGATTCTAATAAAGTAAATTCTTCAATGTCTATATTCTTTTACTGCCAGAAAACTTCTCCCATGGGAAGGTTGGTCAGCTGTAGTATTCCTTCAGAAACAAATAGTTGAGAAAAATGAAGCTACTCCTTAAAATAAAATAAGTAAAACTGGTAGCTAATTGATTAAACGAGTGCAAGTCCAGTGGGAGCGTGTGTGGCAAGGATATGAAGATGCCCCCAGGACCAGAAGCTGGTGGTTTTGAGATGAGCTGTGGACAGATGTCAGCAGCTACTCATGCTTTACCTATTCTCAGCTTGCTTCCTAGGCATTTTGTCTTGTCAGACTCTGATTTTCTTTCTACTTACTCCAGTGTTGCTGTCCTGTTATACTGGGTTCTCCAACCACCCACATCCACTCCACTTACGTTAATTTTTTTTTTTTTTTTTACATTTGAATTGCAGCTCATCTTTTCCTCCACAAATTCAGACTGACCCCCACACATAATCCACTTCCAATTTAGCTTTGGGGTATAACCTTTTTCTTATAAACTGATTTTATAGGCAGCCAGGTGGTATATACTGATAAGCACATATCCGTCTGTTCTTTTAGTGGAAAATGCTAGGTTGATAGGAGCAATTGTGGTTCATCTGGCCAAAAAGGATAGAAAAGTCTAGATAGTGGTCATTTTCACTACTTGATATGTGAATCTACCTTTTGTAGAATTTCCTGGGCTATTGCTTGACACAAGGCTTGCCTCAGGAGACAACTGTTGCAACTTGAAAATCCTATCTCTGTACAGTGGTTGGCAAACTTTTCCTGTAAAGGTCCAGAGAGCTTTGACTGCTGTAGGATCTCTGTTGCAACAGCTCTGCCCTTGTCCTGTAAAAGCAGCCCTAGAGAATAGGTAAACAAATGGGTGTGCCTATGTACTAAAAAATCTTATTGTTTACAAAAATAGGCAAGTGACCAAATTTGGCCCAGGGATACTTTGCAGGTCCCTGTTATAGATTGATGATTTTCTTCTGGAGATATTTTGCACTCATATTTTCCACACACAGTTGAGAGCCGCCTGTGAGATAAATTATGTTGGAGTGCTTTGTGGCCAATCCTTATGAGAAACACAAAAACCTCACTTAGGGGAAGAGTGCCAAGTAGGCAGTTCAGAAAATTCTTGCTACTGTTGTGATTCCGTTATCCCACTGGTTTTTAACCCTGACTGCACATTAAAACCACCTGGGGAGCTTTTAAAAATCCTGATGCCCAGGCCTCACACAGAACCAGTTAAATCAGAATCAGAACTCTGGGAGTAGAACCAGACAGTAATTTTAAGGGTCTCAGGTGATTACAATATAAGAATCGCTGTTCCAGCCATTCTGTCAGCCAGTAGTAAGCACGGTTTTGCCTTTTGACCAAAGGCTTGTCCTGAAATTCTGCTCCTTCTTTTTAATGCTGTTACAGCTGAATTTAGGTTCTTGTCTCTCTGAGTAGTAGTAGTAGAGTGAATCCACAGTAGTGAATGCCCTAGAAATGAAGGCTTAATAAATGTGGTTTGTGATTTTTTGTAGATGAATGTTTTCTTTTAGTAGATAATTTGCAATTCTCAACCCTGATTTGCATGGTAGTATATTTCTTCAATGTAGACATGTAGACACATCTTCCCATTTTCTCCACTTCATGTTTTTTTAACAATTCTGAAATTAGGATGCATCTTATAATGTATATAAACATTTAATGTAATTTTCTTTTTTAGTACTTGTAGGGTTTTAGAAATTTACTCACAATATGCTTTAGTTCATTTGTGTTTTAAAAGTGATCTGACTTACCTTATAATCTACCCATGGGAAATTGAAGTAAATGCCTTATATTTCAACCAATAAGATGTTAAACTAGTGCGATTCAACAAAGTAAACAGCCTCTATTGGTAAATGCCCAGTCTCTTTAGATGAAATGCTTAGAGATGTATGGATGGGGTGATAGTGTTGCCTGTGTTTCCTCATGGTAATGGGAGATAGGGCTTTTGTATCCATGTGATGATCTCTGACACTTGGTGCCTGTTGTTGCAGGGTGGCTGTTATGGAATGCTCTCTGGACTAGTAACCTTTGAGGGTGACCAGTCCCATGCATGGTCATCGTGTGGGTACCATTTTGCATTTCTTTATGTAGTCTATGATGATACAATTTGTGGGCTGCTTTTTCTCATCTTGATTAGGGTTCGTGCTTCTTCCAGGATGCTTTAACATCCCATTGTGGTGCTTTAGACTCCCAGACCTCAGCTACGTTACTCCATCCAGTGTCTGTCTTCATCTTTCCACTCTTCACCCTCTGCTACAAAATCACCTTGCTCTTAACCATGGTGAACTGAGAACAGGCCTGCACTAGTGTTCAACACAGTTACAATGTGATTGTCTTTCAGGAAATCTAGGTTAGTCTGGGGGTCTTACCCATGCCTCATGGGACTCAAGAGGGACTTAAGAAAGCTAAGCTGGACTCCTTTCTACCTTTGTCCACAGTGATGGCAAGATTAGATGGTGCTGCCCCATTCCGTCCTAGATTTTTATGCACGGCAGTTGATGAAGCAGTTTTGTTTCAGAGTCTCTAATATAAATTGAATTGAAGCCCCTCTGCTTTCAGTTTGTCCCAACTAACTGTATTAGGTGTGAGTTAACACAGTTCCCAATCTGGGTGAAGCCCAGGTAGGGGAAATAATGACATGTTTCTTACCTGTCTGTCCTACCTGTCAAACCCTTTTCCCAATAACTTTGGGGCATTAAATGTCAAGTGCTGGCCAGTGAAATTCATGATTGCTGACTGACTTTTAAATTTTACAACAAAATGAGGTAAAGACTTAGAGACTTAGAAACCATTCTGACAAATGAAGTATACACAGCCTAAACACTTTTCAACTTAGCAGCAGCATTTAATTCACTAATAGACTGTATTCAGACCACATTTGTATCACTACAAAATTGTGAGTCCTACAAATTTAATCATTATCTCCTGTGGTGTTTCTTTCTTTACTTTTATTTTCTCTCTTCTACACGATTAACAAGTGATTATATATAGTTTTAACCTGGATATCTTCAATAAGATAGAGTTTTGTGACAAAAAAGAGTAAATGTAAGTTAAGTCTAAGTTGGTATAAAAGGATCTGGCGACAGATAGTGGGAATGAAATGCGGATAATGTTTCCTAAGTTTTTGTTGGCAAAGAACATTGGTATAGTTTATTCAATTTTGTGATTTACGGGGTTAAATATGATTATTAAACAGTGATATAATGCAGAATTAGGGTCATAACCTTATTCCACTATCTGTTTTTGTTGAAAGTGATATGCTGAGCTAAATGGACAAACAGATCTACAAACATGTGAACATGCCTAAACTACTGCCCATGAGGTCAATCTGTTCTTTATTTTCGGGCCAGATTTTGTCTGATTTCGTTTTTCACTTCTTATTTCGTTTTCTTCAAGCAGTCAGTAGAAATGAGTAGAAATGGGTAGAAATGAGTCATTCTTTTGCTTTTTTTGTTCAACACTTCTCTGAATCAGCACTTTACTATAAAATACTAGTTATTGACTTAGAATGATTAGTGCTTGATTGAGGAGTAAATAAGCACAAATATAATTTCTCTTCAGTTTGCTCAATTCAATGTCTTGACAGTTTTTCTTTTCAATTTTTGAACTATATGTTTGTAGAGAGACTATATGATTAACATTATAGTTTTCTTACTAAATTTGTCTAAATTTAATGTCATATTTTATCCAGAAATAACTGTCCTTCCTGTGATTAGAACATTTATCTACAACTGCTTATATATTTGACATGTAAATCTCTTTGCCTTCTGGGTGGCACAGAGGGTTTGTTGAATTGGAGAGAGATCTATATGTACTTTGTTATTGTCCCTCAGTAGTTCAGAGTAATGCTTCATGTGTGCAGTGGTTGTCAACAAGCAAGCAAAAGCCTAAATTTAAAAAAAGGCAATAGGTTATATATACACATTTTGTGTTACTTATAGTAAGACTTATTATGGGCTAATTGAGTTCCCCTACTTCTTCATTTCTTAAACTGAGGTCCTAACACCAAAACTAAGAATATGACTATTTTTGGATCATTGGATGGACATTCATCTAATGTGACTGATTGTGGGGAGCAACTCGGACTAGACTGTTACTCGAATTAAGACTTATTCTATGCATCTGCTCTCCCACAGTATGGCGCTGGGAGAGGAGGAAACAGCTTCTACACAGCTGCCTCCAGTTCAACCAATAAACTGTAGGACCTGCTCCTGATTGGAGGAGAGCAGCGTACTCAGTGTGTGGGTAGCAGAGTTGGGATTGGTGGAAGAGGACTATAAAGGAGGAGAGAGACAACATGCACCAGGGACATCTAAGGGGAACACCTGAGCAGCCCCCGAGAGAGCCGGCCGGCGGTGTGCCGCTCCCCAGCGGAAGTGGGGAAAGTGGCAGGGAGAACCGCCCTTCCACGGAGGTGGAAGGGTCGCTAGCCAACCCGGGAAGAACCAGCAGCAAACCCGGGAGGGCCGAGCAGACAAAAGAACAGCACAGGGTCCTGTGTCGTTCCTCCGCGAAGAGGGGGAGCGACATAATGGTGCCGTGACTCGGATATGAAGCCTAGGCAGGGTTTAGTGTCTTTCCTCCACGAAGAGGGGGAGCGACATAATGGTGCCGTGACTCGGATATGAAGCCTAGGCAGGGTTCAGTGTCGCTCCTCCACAAAGAGGGGGAGCAACATAATGGTGCCGTGACTCGGATATGAAGCCTAGGCAGGGTTTAGTGTCGTTCCTCCACGAAGAGGGGGAGCAACAACTGATACTCTTTATAAAAAGAGGAAATGGGGACATCCAGGAAAGAGGCACCATCCTGTATACATACCCACCTGTGGAAGGTGGTCATCTGCAATCCAAGGAGAGGCCTCTGGAGAAACCAGATCTGCTGACACCTTGATCTTGGGCTTCCAGACTCCCACCTGTGAGGAAATATATTTCTTTTGTTTAAGCTACCCAGTCTATAGTAGTATTTTGTTATAATAGACCTAGCAAACTAATAAAAGGATTGAAAATCTGAAAATGAGTATTAAGAATACTGTGCCTGCTCTTTTTATTTATAGTTTGAAAATGAACCACATAGCCTGGTTTTTGTTTTTTTTTTTTGACAAAAAAGGGACTGACTATGATATACTTGATTCTAGATTGCTTTGAACTGATCGGACCCCAAATAATATAGATGAACAGAACCTTGTTATTGCAGGTATTATAAAAGGTTGGTTTTCCCTGATACTAGATGGGAGACATGACAGAAAATTCCACACCAAGGGATTTCTTTAGATGAATTTTACCGTATACTGTCACTAATTTTTTTTTTTTTTGACAGGCAGAGTAAGAGAGAGAGAGAGAGAGAGAGAGAGAAAGGTCTTCCTTCCATTGGTTCACTCCCCAAATGGCTACTTCGGCCGGCGTGCTGCACCTGGTGTGCTGCGCCGATCCGAAGCCAGGAGCCAGGTGCTTCCTCCTGGTCTCCCATGCGGGTGCAGGGCCCAGACCAGGCACTTGGGCCATTCTCCACTGCCTTCCCGGGCTACAGCAGAGAGCTGGACTGGAAGAGCAGCAACTGGGACAGAATCTGGCGCCCCGACCAGGACAAGAACCCAGGGTGCCTGCGCCACAGGCAGAGGATTAGCCTATTGAGCTATGGCGCCGGCTAACAATTTGTTTTTAATTTGAGTTATACAGGTTTTATATATTTCATATATACAGATTTGGGAACATAGTGATACTATCCAGTTTTTTTTTTTACCCTTCTAATTGTTTTCTTTCTTTTTTTTAGAAAGCTTTTATTTAATGAATATAAATTTCATAGGTACAACTTTAAGAATATAGTGGTTCTTCCCCCAGTACCCACCCTCCTACCCCTATTCCTGTCCTACCTCCTACTCCCTCTCTCATACCATTCACCCCATTAAGATTCATTTTTACTTATTTTTATATACATAAGACCAATTCTATACTAAGTAAAGTTTTCAACAGTTTGTACCCATATAGATACACAAAGTATAAAGTGCTGTTTGAAGACAAGTTTTACAGTTAATTCTCATAGTACAACTCATTAAGCACAGAGGTCCTACATGGGGAGTAAGTGCACAGTGACTCCTGTTGCTGATTTAACAATTGACACTCTTATTTTTGACATCAGTAATCACCCAAGGCTCTTGTCATGAGCTACCAAGGCTATGGAAGTCTTTTGAGTCCACAAACTCCATAAGTATTTAGACAGGGCCATGAGCAAAGTAGTTCTCTTTTCCCTTCAGAGAAAAGTACATCCTTCTTTGATGACCCCTTCTTTCCACTGGGTTCTCACAGAGATCCTTCATATAGATAATTTTTTGCCACAGTGTCTTGACTTTCCATGCCTGAGTTGCTCTCATGGGCTTTTCAATCAGATCCATATGCCTTAAGGGCTGATTCTGAGGTCAGAATGCTGTTTAGGGCATTTGGCATTCTATGTGTCTGCTGTGTATCCCGCTTCCCATGTTGGATCATTTTCTCCTTTTTAATTCTACCTATTGTTATTAGCAGACACTTGGTCTTATTTATATGATCCCTTTGACAATCCTATCTATATGATCAGTTACACACTTCATATGATCACTTTAACATGTGTGATGGCATTAGTACCACACGGCTTAATGGGATTTGGAGTTCCACGGCAAGATTTTAGCTTTATTCTTATGGGAAAGTCCATTGGAATGTGTGCTGAACTGTATATCTCCTCCTTTTCTTATTCCCATTTTACTTTTTACTGGAGTCTATTTTCAATTGGATTTAAACATCTATGAATAATTCTGTGTTAAGTAAAGAGTTCAACAAATGGTAGTAAGTAGAAAATAAAATAGTAAAAAAATTAAAATAATAAATTGTTCCTTGACAGTCAAAACAAGGGCTGTTCAAGTCACTGCTTCTCATAGTGTCAATTTCACTTCTATAGGTTTCCTTTTAGGTGGTCTGTTAGTTGTCACAGATCAGAGAGAACATGTGAAATTTGTCTATTTGGGACTGGCTTATTTCACTCAGTATGTTTTCCAAATTCCTCCATTTTGTTGCAAATGACCAGATTTTTTTAAACCACTGTGTAGTATTCCATGGAGTATATATCCCATATTTTCTTTATCCAATCTTCTGTTGATGGGCATTTAGATTGATTCCATGTCTTAGCTATTGTGAGTTGAGCTGCAATAAACATGGAAGTACAGATAAATCTTTTATTTGCTTATTTAATTTCCCTTGGGTAAAATTTGAGGAGTGAGATGGCTGGGTTGCATGGTAGTACTATATTCAGATATATGAGGTATCTTCAGTAGTGGCTTTACCAGTTTGCATTCTTACCAACAGTGGATTAGGGTATCTTTTCCTTCCATTCTCACCAGCAAATGTTTGTTGATTTCTGTATGAAAGCCATTCTAACCAGGGTGAGGTGAAACTTCCCTGTGGTTTTGATTTGCATTTCCATGAAGGCTAGTGATCCTGAAAACTTTTTCATATGTCTGTTGGCCATTTGTATTTCCTCTTTTGAAAAATGTCTATTTAAGTTCTTGGCTCATCTCTTAAGTGGGTTGTTTGTTTTGTTGTTGTGGACTTTTTTGATCTCTTTGTAGATTCTGATTATTAATCCTTTATCAGTTGCATAGTTTGCAAATAATTTCTCCCATTCTGTTGGTTGCCTCTTTACTTTCCTGTTTATTTTGCTCTACAGTTACTTCTCAATTTGATGTAATCCCAGTTGTTAATTTTGGCTTTGGCTACCTGTGCCTCTGGGGTCTTTTTTTAGAAGTCTTTGCCTGTGCCAATGTCTTCCAGGGTTTCTCCAATGTCCTCTAATAATTTGATAGTGTCGGGTAATAGATTTAGATCTTTAATCCACGTTGAGTAGATTTTTGTTTAAGGTGTAAGATATGGGTTTTGCTTCATGCTTCTGCATGTAGAAATGCAGTTTCCCCGGCAACATTTATTGGATAGACTGTCCTTGCTCCAGGAATTGGTTTTAGCTCCTTGATCAAATATAAGATTGCTGTAGATGTTTGGATTGATTTCTGCTGTTTCTATTATGTTCCATTGGTCCATCCATCTGTTTCTGTAGCAGTACCAGGGCTGTTTTTGTAATTCTCTTTCTATGTTGCATATTTTTCAGGTTTAGTCATTAAGGTGATGCTGGATTCATAGAATTTGGAAGGATTCTATCTCTTTCAGTTGTTGTGAATAACTTGAGAAGAATTGGAGTTAGCTCTTCTTTAAATGTCTGGTAGATTGGTTGAACACACAATTATTCTTAGTCATTTCAATTTAACTGAAAAATGATCCTTGTTAAATATAAGAGTAGGAATAAGAGAGGGAGGAGATGTACAGTTCGGCATATGCTCACTCGGACTTACCCCTAATGGTAGAGCTAGAAATGTGCCCAGGGATTTCAATTCAATCCCATCAAGGTGGCATGTACCAATGCCATCTTACTTATTAAAGTGATCAATTTAAGTTCATAATTGATCAAAAAGTTAAGATTAAGTGTCAAAGGGATTACATAAATAAGACCAGTGTCTACAAATACCAATTGATAGAATTAAAAAGGAGAGAAAGATCCTACATGGGAAGCAGGATATACAGCAAATTCCTAGAATGGCAAATGCCCTAAACAACACTCTGGCCTCAGAATCAGCCCTTAAGGGATTCAGATCTGGCTAAAAAGCCCATGAGAGTTTTGCAGGCATGGAATGCCAAGACACTGTGGCAAAAAAAAAAAAATGACCTACATGAAAGATCTCTGTGAGTGAGATCCTAGTGGAAAGAATGGGCCATCAAAGAAGGAGGTACCTTTCTCTGAAGGGAGGAGAGAACTTCCACTTTGACTATGGCCTTGTCTAAATAAGATCGGAGTTGGCAAACTCAAGAGGCTTCTATAGCCCTGGTGGCTCATAACAAGTGCCTTGGGTGATTACTGATGTCATAAATAAGAGTGTCAATTGTTAAATCAACAATGGGAGTCACTGTGAACTTGCTCCCCATGTAGGACCCCTGTCATTAATGTGTTATGTGAATTAATGGTAAACTACTACTCAAACAGTACTCTATACTTTGTGGGTCTGTGTGAGTGCAGTCTGTTGAAATCTTTACTAAGTATATACTAAGTTGATCTTCTGTATATGCAGATAATTGAAAATGAATCATGAGGAAGAACGGGGTGGGAGAGTGAGTGGGAGATGGGGTGGTTGCAGGTGGGAGCGAGGTTATGGGGGGAAAAGCTGCTATAATTTAAAAGTTGTAATTTGAAATTTATATTTATTAAATAAAAGTTGAAAAAAATAAATGTTTGGTAGAATTCAGCAGTAAAGCTATCCAGTCTTGGGCTTTTCTTTGTGGGAGGGCCTTTATTACTGACTCATTTTCTGTCTTGGTGATGGGTCTGCTTAGGTTTTCTATGTCTTCATGACTCAATTTAGGTAGGTTGTATGTGTCCAGGAATATATCCATTTCTTCTAGGTGTCCAGTTTGTTGCATACAGCTCTTTGTAGTAATTTCTGAGGACTCTTTTTATTTCTGTGGTATCTTGTTATATTTCTTTTTTCATCTCTAATTTTATTGATTTGGGCCTTCTCTTTCCTTTGTTTGGTTAGTTAGGCCAATGGTATGTCAATTTTGTTTATTTTTTCTGAAAACCAGCTCTTCATTCTGCTTTGTTTTGTGTTATTTTTATTGGTTTCAATTTTGTTGATTTCTTCTCTAATTTTAATTATTTCTCTTCTAGTTTTGGTGTGTGTGTGTGTGTGTGTGTGTGTGTGTGTATGTTTGCTGTTTTTCTAGATCCTTGAGATGCATTGATTGCTAATTTATTTGGTGCTTTTCCAGTTTCTTGACGTGGGTACCTATTGCTATAAACTTTCCTCTTAACACTGCTTTTGCTGTATCCCATAAATTTTGATATATAGTGTTGTTGTCTTAATTTGTTTCCAGAAATTTTTTGATTTCTCTTATGGTTTCTTCTATGACCCACTGTTCATTCAGGAGCATGTTGTTCAGTCTCCATGTATTTGCATATGCTCCAGTGATTCCTGAGTTGCTGATTTCCAGCTTCATTCCATTGTGGTCTGAGAAGATGCATGGTATGATTTTGATTTTTCTGAATTTGCTGAGACTTGCTTTGTGGCCTAGTATGTGGTCAGTCCCAGAGAAAGTTCCATGCACTGCTGAGAATGTATTTGTAACTGTAGGATGAAAAGTTTTGAGGATATCTGTTAGATCCATTTGGTCTATAGTGTCAATTACATCTGCTGTTTCCTTATTGATTTTCTGTCTGGTTATCTCTCCATTGCTGAAACTGGAGTATTGAAGTACCCCAAATATTATTGTATTGGAGTCTAAATGTCCCTTTAAATCCCTTAACAGTTCTTTTAAATAGCCAGGTGCCCTGTAATTAGGTGTATATGCAATTATAATAGTTACACCTTCCTGTTGAATTGATTACTTAATCATTATATAGTGCCCTTCTTTGTCTCTCTTAACAGTTTTTGTGTACAAGTATATTTTGTCTGATTTTAAGATGGCTACACCAGCTCTTTTTTGGTTTCTGTTTCATGGAATATCTTTTTCCAACCTTTCACTTTCAGTTTGCATGCCTCTTTGTTGGTGAGATGTGTTTCTTGTAGGCAGGTTTTTCAATCCATTCAGCCAGTTTGTGTGTTTTAACTTGGTACTTGAGGCCATTTATATACAAGATGACTATTGATAAATAATGACTTTTCCCTGCCATTTTTGCAAAAATACTCCACTTTTTTTTACTTTGAATTTCCTTTGAAATTTTATTGAAAGTTTTTCTTCCTTTACCTTCTTTCATAATGATGACCATGTTTCTGTGTTTCTGTTTGCAACACATCCTCAAGCATCTTTTGTAGGGCTGGGCATGTGGTGACTAATTTTCAATTTCTGTTCATTATGGGAGGTCTTTATTTCATCTTCGTTCATAAATGAGAGCTTTTCAGGGTATGATATTCTGGGATCACAGTTTTTTTTCTCGTAGGATTTGGAATATATCTCTCCATTCTCTCCTAGCCTGTAGGGTTTCTGATGAGAAGTCACTTGTGAGTCTAATTGGAGATCCTCTGAAAGTAATCTGGCGTTTCTCTCCTGCACATTTTAGAATCTTCTCTTTATATTTTACTGTGGTGAGTTTGATTACAATGTGTCATGGCGAGGATCTTTTCTGGTCATGTCTATTGGGAGTTCTGTGTGCTTCCTGTACTTGGATGTCCCTTTCTTTCTCCAAACCCGGGAAGCTTTTGGCTAGTATTTCACTAAAAAGGCCTTCTAATCCTTTCTCTCTTTCCATGCCTTCAGGAATTCCTAGAATAAGTATAGTATATAGTATCCTATAGATTCCCAACAGTGTTTTTTTAGTTTTCTAATTTCCTCTTGTCTGGTTTGACTGTATACTTTCCTGTCCTAAGTCTGATATTCTTTCTTCTGCTTCACTGATTCTGTTGTTAAAGCTCTCCACTGCATTTTTTATTTGTTCTATTGAATTCTTCATTTCACTTTGATTTCTCTTTAAGATCTCAATTTCATGGGAGAAATTTTCTTTCCTGTCCTGTACAGGTTCATTAGTTCGTGTATTTGCTTCTGATTATTTCTATGTAATCTTTTTTTTTTTTTTATTTGACAGGCAGAGTTAAACAATGAGAGAGACAGAGAGAAAGGTCTTCCTTCCATTGGTTCACCCCCCAAATGGCCGCTATGGCCGACGCCCTGTGCCACTCCAAAGCCAGGAGCCAGGCGCTTCCTCCTGGTCTCCCATGTCGGTGTAGGGGCCCAAGCACTTGGGCCATTCTCCACTGCCCTCCCGGGCCACAGAAGAGAGCTGGACTGGAAGAGGAGCAACTGGGACTAGTCCTCGGTGCCCCAACCGGGACTAGAACCCGGGGTGCCGGCGCTGTAGGCAGAGGATTAGCCATGTGAGCCGCGGCACCAGCCTCTATGTAATCCTATGATCAATTTTTTGAATTCGATTTCTTCCATCTCATCATCTTCACAATCTAATATTCATTGCTGTGTTCTTTTGGGGGCATCACATTGTCTTCCTTATTCTTGTTTCTTGAATTGGTGCATTTGTTGTTCAGCGTTTGTGAAGATACTTGTTGGTTTTCTTCTTTCTTTCTTTTTTTTTTTTTTTTTTGTGGGGGGGCTGTGGCAGCTTATATCTTTGTACTATGACCCTGTAGATAAGTGGAATGTCTGCTTTCAGTGAATCTCTAGAGGCTTATAACGGGTGTTGCCAGAGAGCTCTGTTCAGTTCTCCAGGGTGAAGGATGTGCCTAGGGGCTGGCGCCATGGATCACTTGGTTAATCCTCCGCCTTTGGTGCCAGCATCCCATATGGCCGCTGGGTTCTAGTCCTGGTAAATCTTCTCTCTCTCTCTCTTTTTTTAATCAAAAGGGAAATTTATTTTGCTTAGCTGAGCTCCTGTCCTCAGTGGAGACCAGTGCCTGAGTGCTAGCCCCAGTGCGTATAATATTTGTCCACTTTGTCCCAAGGACCACACAAAGGATCTATTCAGTCCTCAGTGTAAGATCAGTTTCCCCAGCAATGTCTCACCAGGTAACCAGGACACCCTGAGCATGTGTAGTCTCCCACTGTGACTGCTCAAAGTCTCAGCCACACCGTGACGGTTCCCACAATCCCTCAGTGTTTTTCACATTTCTGGTACAGAAGCCTCACACAGTCACAAGCTCCTAGCCCCCTGTTAGTTCTCCCCACCAGAGTCAGGGTCTCTACTCGGCTGATTGCTGGGCACAGACACGAGCTGGCACAGCTGTTTTGTATGTCCAAAATAGTGCCTGCTCTATCGGCTTGTTAAAGGACACCATTGTAAAGTGATTGTCCTTTTTTTGTTTTCTCCTCTAGTTTGGTTGGTATACTATTCCCAATGGGTCTCCATGCTGGATTCCCTCTAGGCTCTTCCTGCAGCTTTTTCGCCAGTGGCTTGGGCTGCTGTGGTCTGCTCTCACCTCACTTTCCAATGCTGGTACTTAGGCTTTCTGCTGCTGGAGTCCTGAGCAGTGGGTGCCCATGCCCTCCACGTAGGTTCACTGTGAACCTCTAATTTTGGTAGAGTTTCCTCTGAAGTTTTCTCCCTAACTTTTCTCTGAGACTACATTTTCGCCACTTTTTTTAAACTATCTTCTCCTGGGCTAGAACAGCAAGCTCCCTTCCTACTCCACCATCTTGGAACCGTCTAATTTCTTTCAGGACCTTGCTAAAGTTTAAGCTAATTAACATGGCTTAAATGTCTTATAGTTTATTTCATATACTGACATTAAGGGAGGAAAAGCAGCCTTGAAGGCTTTTATTTGTTTGAAAGATAAGGGGTAGGGAGAGAGAACGAATGAATGAATATGAATCTTCCATCTGCTGGTCCACTCAGGTACCTGCAAGCCGTCAGGGCTGGGCCAGGTCAAAGCCAGGAACATAGAATTCTATCTGAGTTTCCCACATGGTGACAGTGCCCCAAGTCCTTGAGCCTTAATCTGTTGCTTCTCAGCATTAGCAGAAAGCTGGATCAGAAGCAGAAGCAGAGGCAGGACTTGATACCAGGCACTCCAATATGGGATGTCAATGTCCCAAGTGGCAGCTTAACCCACTGTGCCACAATGCCTGCCCCAGCATATCATTTTAATTTTCAATCTTTGGGGAGCCTTTAGAGAAGTATACCAGAATTAGGAAAGATTATTAAACCTTCTTTTTTATTTTTTATTTTTATTTATTTATTTTTTTATTTTTGCCAGGCAGAGTTAGATAGTGAGAGAGAGAGACAGAGTTATAGACAGTGAGAGAGAGACAGAGAGAAAGGTCTTCTTTTTGTTGGTTCACTCCCCTAATGGCCGCTATGGCCGACGCCCTGTGCCACTCCAAAGCCAGGAGCTGGGTACTTCCTCCCTGTCTCCCATGCAGATGCAGGGACCCAAGCACTTGGGCCATCTTCCACTGCCTTTCTGGGCCACAGCAGAGAGCTGGACTGGAAGAGGAGCAACCAGAACTAGTACTCGTCACCCCAACTGGGACTGGGACCTGGGGTGCCGGCGCCACAGGCGGAAGATTAGCCAAGTGAGCCACAGCGCCAGCCTAAACCTTCTTTTATACTCTAAAATAAATTATAAATATTACAGAAATATTATAC